GTAGTCAGTTCCTGTGTCCTATCCCTCTACTCTCATCACTCTATATCATAGACAGACAGTCAGTCCCGGTGTCCTATCTCTCTCCCCTCACCATTCTATATCATAGACTGACAGTCAGTCCCTGTGTCTTATCTCTCTACCCTCATCACTCTATATCATAGACTGACAGCCAGTCCCTGTGTCCTATCTCTCTCCCGTCATCACTCTATATCATAGACTGACAGTCAGTCCCGGTGTCCTATCTCTTTACCCTCACACTGTATATCATAGACTGACAGTCAGCCCCTGTGTCCTATCTCTCTACCCTCTCCACTCTATATCATAGACTGACAGTCAGTCCCTGTGCCATATATCTCTACCCTCAGCATTCTATATCATAGACTGACAGTCAGTCCCTGTGTACTATCTCTCTACCCTCACACTGTATATCATAGACTGACAGTCAGCCCCTGTGTCCTATCTCTCTACCCTCACCACTCTATATCATAGACTGACAGTCAGTCCCTGTGTCCTATCCCTCTACCCTCATCACTCTATATCATAGACTGACAGCCAGTCCCTGTGTCCTATCTCTCTACCGTCATCACTCTATATCATAGACTGACAGTCAGTCCCGGTGTCCTATCTCTTTACCCTCACACTGTATATCATAGACTGACAGTCAGTCCCTGTTTCTTATCTCTCTACCCTCACCATTCTATATCATAGACTGACAGTCAGTCCCTGTGTACTATCTCTCTACCCTCACACTGTATATCATAGACTGACAGTCAGCCCCTGTGTCCTATCTCTCTACCCTCACCACCCTATATCATAGACTGACAGTCAGTCCCTGTGTCTTATCTCTCTACCCTCATCACTCTATATCATAGACTGACAGTCAGTCCCAGTGTCCTATCTCTCTACCCTCATCACTAGTACTCTATATCATAGACTGACAGCCAGTCCCTGTGTCCTATCTCTCTACCGTCATCACTCTATATCATAGACTGACAGTCAGTCCCTTTGTCCTATCTCTCTACCCTCACACTGTATATCATAGACTGACAGTCCGTCCCTGTGTCCTATCTCTCTACCCTCACCACTCTATATCATAGACTGACAGTCAGTCCATGTGCCCTATATCTCTACCTATACCACTCTATATCATAAACTGTCAGTCTATTTTTATGTCCCATCTCTCTAACCTGGCCTCTCTATTTGATAATCTGCAAGCTCCTGTGACCTGTCTCTCTACAATTGCATGAACCAAGAATTCAACTGCTACCCTCATCACTATATATCATAGACAGACAGTCAGTCCCTGTGCCCTATATCTCTACCCTCAGCATTCTATATCATAGACTGACAGTCAGTCCCTGTGTCTTATCTCTCTACCCTCACCACTCTATATCATAGACTGACAGTCAGTCCCTGTGCCCTATATCTCTACCTATACCACTCTATATCATAAACTGTCAGTCTATTTTTATGTCCCATCTCTCTAACCTGGCCTCTCTATTTGATAATCTGCAAGATCCTGTGACCTGTCTCTCTACAATTGCATGAACCAAGAATTCAACTGTATCTTACCTTCCCACGTTCACAACATTTTAGAAATCTTTGTCAATAAAATTATATTTGTTGGCACCGTCTGTGTACAAAATAAATATAATATCCTTGAAAACAATACTGACATAGATATGTTAAAATGAAGGGTAAAATTTATCACAGAGCATAAATCTATCACTCCTAGAAGAAACGAAACTTTTGGAAACCTCCTTGTTTTGTAAAGCTGTATCTATTCCCCTCTGGGATGTGTTTGAGTGACAGTGAGATGATACATTTGATAAGCAGACATGATCTAACTGTCGATTTCTGTCAAAAATAAATCATATGATTTTTGCATATTATAGATGTATCCGGCGCTGATGTTCCCCATGTGATTGATTTACAAGACATCATGTGATTTAATGTACCTTTTAGAAAGAAATATCGACCAAAGTAATGATTTGTTTATTGTTGGTTTTAGTTTCAGTTATTTCAACATTCAATTCGGACCATGTAAATGTAAATTTGATTTATTTTCCCGTAAATTTGAAAGCAAATGAACATTCACAAATTATAGGCATAAAGGAAAATGTTTCAAATGTATATTGCAATTCAAACACACATCAAATGGAGTTTTATCTATTATTATTAACGTTTGCTAATTTCAATGATTTCTAGAGATTCGAAGTGTTAACACTGCTAGCTTGTGAGAGAGTCGATCAAACCGATTTTATACTACTAGGACCCGTATTAATGAAACCATTCTCATGCTCAAGCTTTATTTCTTATTAATAATAATAAATACTAGTATACAACATTTGAAATAGCGCCATATCTAGCTAACATAAGTCACTCTAAAGCGCTTTACAGTACATAGATATACATGTACAATTAATACAATTAGCATATACATTGATCAATATATTTTTTGAGGAATTCGCAGGAGCTGCCTTATCAGGCGCTACCACTAGTCATATGCCACTTGGCTAATATCTCCCTATGTGTGTATTCCTGCGTGTGTGCTGGAGATGTATTGTGTTCCGTTTGTAGTGGGACCGTGCTTTCAACGGCATCTTTAATAGTGCCACCTCACTTGAATGCTACAGCACAGATACCGCAACATCCACCCCAGACCATGTTATACTCCACCTGGATTGTTGGAGTTGTGTGGACAGGAGAAAACGCTTTTTCTGATATTCCATGCCTGCGACGACTTGGAGGATCGAACCCCGGTCGTCTGCGTGGAAGGCCAAAGTAATAACCAGTCCATCAATTCGCCCATTATTCCGGTTATAATTGATGTGTCAATGATTTGGGAAAACAGAGAGACCCACGCCGAATACTGTTTCCATTGTTTACATTTGACTGTCTGATTGTTTTACATGATTTAAGCGAGATACAAGAAAGCTGGCTTGAGCACAGAATCCGTGCTTGAGCATGATAACGGTTTCAGGAATGCGGCCCAGGTCTTCGGACTGATTAGCGAACATCGAACATTGCAACCCACTCGCTAACATGACTTTTTTGTCGCACTGAAGAATACATGTGTTCACTCCATTGGTTAATATAGTGAAGCTCGTCTCTTGTTAATGATTCCTGGCATTACGTATACACGCACGAGCAGTAGATATGAAAACAATGTACGCTCGTTACCATGTTTATTTCTCTCAACACTGATTTCATATACGAAAGTTAGGTTTCTGATTTTAAGTAACTAAACTGGATTTAAAGTATGAAAACAGTCATTTAATTGGTTTAAAGAAGGTACCACGCGCTCATATCATATATGCACCTCCATGGATCTTATTCTTCTTCCACAAATATTGATTATACACATGTAACGTATACTCCTTAACAGGAATAACCATCACTATCTACATTGTAGATAGCTGGTTTACCTGCCTTCTCATCTCGTATTGATTTGGTCCTTAACTCGACCACTAGCACGCGTTGTTGTGTTGCTGTTATTCTTAAGTATTCTTCTTTGTCTTACCTTCAATCCAAACTAGGTGGTGTGTCTTGTTTCATAGTCAAAGGTCCAGTTTCTACAAAACAGAAAAATGTATGTTTTTAACACGGCGCTGGTAACGGTATCGACTAAAGAGCAATCATGTATGTTGTCCTAATAATGACAAGACAAACAAAGGAACTAACTATTATATATAGTTTATACGTCACTCATTATACGTAGTCTTTTCATCAAAGACATCGCTATACTGGGAACGGCTATTTGTGTGAGCAGGACAATAATGGCCGTTGGTAACGAAACGTACCGTCAATATATAAAAACTACCGTTTGGTATAACATATAATACACTGATTGCATTTAAACGGATCAATCAGAGGTTATACTTCTGGATAATAAGTGGGCCTCGCGAATAGAACAGACACTATTTAAATCCTAATATTTTAATACATTTTGAAGAGAAAACTCTCACACGAAATTTTCGCAAACATCATTAAAGGGTTTAGTACTATAATCCATATTTTATTGAACTTATATAGCAAATTTCGTGTTTGACGTAGGAAGGGAGATAACTCAACCACCCCAAAAGAGGTACGCGCAATTATATACGCTCTCAGAAGAAAAGCTGTTACACATTATTGCAGTGTACGAACTATGTGAATTCGGGGATGATTGTATGAAGGCTTGCTTGTTTGCTTGCTTGATTGATCGATCGATCGATTGCGTCGATCCTCGCAACAGCTAAAGGGCCTGTCACACCTAGCCGGTTTCGGTCGCACACATTTGGCGATTTTCGGGGTTCGGTACAAGTGCGACAGCGTAGAACGGTAGTGCATCGTCAGGTCATCGTCAGAACATCGGCGAAATGGATCAGCGGCTTTCCGGTGGTCTCAATGTGTACCCTGTTTTACCGATGTGATACCGTACTGGTACCGATGTGACACCGTAGTACTACCGAACACCACCTAAGTAGTACTGATGCCTTGGTATAACATCGTCGGCGCATCGGTTCGGTGACTCTAAGGTGACAGAAAAGTGGTAATCGGTAACACGTCGGCTCTTACATCGATAGGACAACGGTAGAACAACGGTATCACAACGGCTCTTACATCGGTAAGACAACGGTATAACAACGGTATCACATCGGCTCTTACATCGGTAAGACAACGGTAGAACAACGGTATCACATCGGCTCGTACATCGGTAGGACAACGATAGAACAACGGTATCACATCGGCTCTTACATCGGTAGGATAACGGTAGAACAACGGTATCACAACGGCTCTTACGTCGGTAGGACAACGGTAGAACAACGGTATCACATCGGCTCTTACATCGGCTCTTACATCGGTAGAACAACGGTATCACAACGGCTCTTACATCGGTAGGACAACGGTAGAACAAAAGTATCACAACGGCTCTTACATCGGTAGGACAACGGTAGAACAACGGTATCACATCGGCTCGTACATCGGTAGGACAACGATAGAACAACGGTATCACAACGGCTCTTACATCGGTAGGACAACGGTAGAACAAAAGTATCACAACGGCTCTTACATCGATAGGACAACGGTAGAACATCGGTATCACATCTGCTCTTACATCGGTAAAACAACGGTATCACAACGGCTCTTACATCGGTAAGACAACGGTAGAACAACGGAATCACATCGGCTCTTACATCGGTAAGACAACAGTAGAACAACGGTATCACAACGGCTCTTACATCGGTAGGACAACGGTAGAACAACGGTATCACAACGGCTCTTACATCGTTGGACAACGGTAGAACAACGGTATCACAACGGCTCTTACATCGGTAGGACAACGGTAGAACAACGGTATCACAACGGGAACGCGGGTACTAAATCGATATTGCTACGGTCAATTTTCCAAGTGCTTTCTTGCCAGAACTCTGCCGTTGTTACTGTTTTACTCCGATTTATTCCAGGCGAGGTACTTCGGTAGTGTGTGCCATATCACGGTGTGTGTACGGTGTTTGTACGGTTGGCTTCACTAAAGGACAAGTTTAAAGTGTGACCTCACTGAAATGTCAACAGCTGGACGATAGCATGACAGCCTGTCCGGTTAATAATTCTGACAGCGGGCAGAAGAAGAAAGGATAATGTAGATAAGGAAGAAGAAGAAAGCGTGAAAATAAAAAATAAATACAAACATAAATAGAAAAGGAATGCGTATCTCCGAGAAAAACAGATGGACATGTAAAGTTAAACGACGTCTGAAGTGTGTATAGGTAAACATATGGACGTACAAGTACGTACACCGCGTAGGATTCCAGCGTAATGTAGTCCCACTTCCGTAAGGCATTATCTACACTTAATCCTAAACATCTGACAAGGAAGATTGTTTACTAAAGCTGTCGTAATTCACGTAAATGTTAAGGGCAGAGATCAAACGAACACATATGTAGGGGAATACTGATTTACGTGTCCGCCAAAACAAACATTGCATTTCTAAAACAATTTGTTTTGTCATAGGTAGAACTGTTATCTTTCATCAAAGATGCGGAAAAGACAACACTTCCCTGACGTAACAGCGGACGTAACAGCGCGGAGGGAGGGGCCAACGAATCACCACCACCCTCGAACTCATCCGAACTCATCCGAACCAGTCCTGAATATCTCCGATAACCAACTTTTGTATCGTCCCTGTAGTCCATCCTGAGCCCTTCAGGCCTCTCCTTTCTCGATGGAAGTCCGATGCATTTGGGATGCCCTGTAGTCACGTATACATATTGTTAGTATTTCAAACAAAGTAGCGATGAATTAAAAGCTTGCTGTTGAACGTCACAAGATAAACACGCCGATCACATGGACATTTCTGAACGTCAAGTATTTCCGATCAACTTCCTGGTCAAGAGTTTAATATCATAAACACATCTACATGCAAGTTTCAGGACAAATATGTGATATAGACGTCATTAATCGTCCAACTGATAAAAAACTGTAATTTCATTTTATACGTCACGTACAGATGATGTATCAAACAGTTACATAATATACATGATGAGGTGACACAGACATTATATGATTAAAGGCAGTTATCTGCAATGCAGTGAAATGAAAAGAATTAATCAAAGTATTAATTTGTTTAGTTCGATTTTATCTTAGGAAGATCAGAATGCAAAACATAAAGACTATTTGGTCCCAGCAAACGTTTGCATTATATTTGTTTCTCTCTCCCAGGAATGTGAAGGGAACGCTACACATGAATCAAACCTTATTTATCTAGCGGTTGAATGCGTTCCAATATAAATACTCTAAGTTATCTCACTGACATCTGCATGTTCAAAAGGAAAAAAAACATTGTTATTAAATGAATTCCCCGGCAGCATTGAACAGACACATCTTTACGATTGGAGTCGATATTTTAGATTGTTTGTAGATAGTAGCTGTACGTGTATTGACATAAAGCTGGGTTTAGGTGTGTGTGTCTGATTTTTTGAATTATCTAATTATTTAGAAGTAACATATGCAAGGAGGATCGACAGCATACAGAGTTAAAAATCTCGATTTTCCGGATAGTCGAATTTCCGGGTAAAATATAATTGCTTCTCATGTCGTGTTTTCGTAAATGGCTATTAACGGGACATCTTTGTTCGTCAGCATTCAATATTTGAAATTATATACAACTTTGCCCGGACCAAAAAATGCAAAATCGTAATAGTTTTTATTAGACATTTGATCCTACCTTTCCGATAATTTGTTCCCAGAACCGGAACGATAACTTCCGGTCCCAAGAACCGGAACGCTAACTTCCGGTCCCCAGAACCGGAACGCTTACTTCCGGTACCCAGAACCGGAACGCTAACTTCCGGTCCCCAGAACCGGAACGCTAATTTCCGGTCCCCAGATTCGGAACGCTAATTTCTTGTCCCCAGAACCGGAACGCTAATTTTCGGTCCCCAGAACCGGAACGCTAATTTCCGTTCCCCAGAACCGGAACGCTAATTTCCGGATTGAAATTACAATTATTGTCGCGAACGTTTTGAGTTTCCGGAATACGTGTTCTTTATCGAGCTTATAATGTAGAGCCTTGTTAATCTTGAACCAGTGATATGTACCGCGTATTATGATTTCTCCTTATTTCATTGTTCCGGTAATAGAACACCAATTTTCTTTTTGTAGCTAGAAGTGTTCTCATTGTAAACAAAACATGACCGCTGAAAACTCACAGGAACGAGACACAATTTAAGGGTGGAAGGGTTACCAAACCAAACTCAATGGCACAACAATAAGATTGTCTGGTAGCACAAATTACAAAATGTACACGCACGTTCTATCTTGTGTATTCTGATAGAAATCATCCAAACTTTGTTTCATCATACAGAAATTCTACGACGGAAAGCTTTGATAAGCGTTGTTCATTGTGGATTTATAAATTTAATCATATATCGCTGTAGATTTACCGGAACTACATTATCTTACCAGCCACTGCTATCGTAGTTACCATCGTAGTAACCAGCTTCGACTTGATTCTGTCTGCGCATTGTACATTTTTGTAGCATTTAAACATCCTTTAGATGTAGATATTAGGATTGACCTTCATTTTTACGGCGAATACGTTATTGTGAACGCAGTTGGCAACGAACATATTCGTTATGGAGCACTAACGCGCACCACAGAATATTGTATACAGCGGAATGTTCGCCAAGTCAAACACGCACCACAGAATACTGGATACAGCAGAATGCTCGCCCAGTCAAACACGCAGCACAGAATACTGTATACAGCGGAATGTTCGCCTAGTCAAACACGCACCACAGAATACTGTATACAGCAGAATGCTCGCCCAGTCAAACACGCACACTAAAATATTGTATACAGCGGAATGCTCGCCCAGTCAAACACACACCACAGCATACTGTAAACAGCGAAATGCTCGCCCAGTCAAACACGCACCACAGCATACTGTAAACAGCGAAATGCCCGCCCAGTCAAACACGCACCACAGAATACTGTATGCAGCGGAATGCTCGCCCAGTCAAACACGCACCGCAGAATATTGTATACAGCGGAATACACGCCCACTCAAACACGCACCACAGAATACTGT